CTGATCTTCCCCCCCTCCCCCCCTGCAATTGACGTTCTTTGTTTTGGGGAGCATCTGTGAGGCTAAGCACCAGACCAGAAAATAGGGGAACTCTCTCTCCTGTGCTTTCAGTACTTGCCACCCCCTCAGCTGGCATGCATTGTGGAGGCAGAAAATGCCTAACTAGAATGAGAGGGGGAAAAAAGGAACTTGGGGGTGGGTGCATATCTTACATTCAGACTGGGAGAAAACTGGTGTTGGGAAAGGAGCCACCTTCCTACGTACACCAATTTACATTTATAAACTTTAAGCTGTAGTCAGTTTAAGGAGCTTGGGTTCATTGAATTTACCTGGGCAAACAGCCTCAGCCAGCCTATTGGTACAGCTCTGGTGAAGCAATTAAAAAGTCTGGGAGGGAGCTTGATTCCTGTGCACTTTAAGAACTATATGTTTGTGATTGGCAACATTCTCTTTTGGAAATGGTTTGCTGTGAAGAAGTAATTTATGGCACTTGGATAAGGAAAATAAAAATATATTGTCTATGGTAGCAAAGGGAAAATGGAAAAGAACCCCTTTCAACATTTCCTTCATCTATGTGTCTTCTCATGCTATGAAGTTACTAAGGTGAGCATGGGGAAAAACAAAGATTTAGGGTCCAGACAGATGTAACAGTGTTCGCCCAAACTGGCCACAGAAAGTAGTTTATAGTTGTGACCAAATACAAGTGCACTGCAGCAGACAGCTTAAAAATGGCCAATTTGGTGAAAATCTGACCCTTCATTGCATGAGAGGTCAGATGAAGATGTTTCAAAATAGTCTTCTGTAACTTGTTTTCCCTTTCTGCCAGCCTCGAGCTGTTTTCAGAATGGGAGGGGGAAAAGGGAGCAGACGGAGTTCAGTCTGCGGGTTTTTCAGCCCCTGTTGGAGGGTGGGATGGGTGTATTGGAGCCCCCCTAGCCCCCTGAGGTGGGGGGGGACTCCAATTCACCTGCACCACCCTCCAGAGTCGGCTGGGGCAGGTGAACCACTAAAACAAGCTCCCTCTCCTCCCTTTCTCCCCCTCCCATTCTCAGATGGACAGGCTGGGAGAGGGGAGGGTCATTGCTAGGGAAAACTGGCTGCAGGCTCCCAACCAGCAGCTAATTTCCATCCTTCCATTCCTACCCCCCCCCCCCCCAAACCAACAACAAACTTCTGTTTGCTCAGGGCGATCATGGTAACTCAGAATGCTTCCTGCAAAGCCTTCTCAATCACAGCAGGGAGCCGCACTTCTGTCTGCACCCTAATGAAGTTCAGTGCAGTTGCATGCAGTGATTCTGCTGCCCTTCTTTATTCTCCATAGGTCCTCTGAGTCACAGAATTCCTTTGCCTCCGTTTCTGCATACCATACAGATTTGGCCATATTTCTCTTTCAATTCTTTTGTATACTGTATGATGCATCAGGTCCCAGCCTACTTCAAAAGCCACAAGAGTCTTTTCCCAGTCCTTGTAAAATGGGTAATTTTGCTCTGTTGCGTACTGGGTATAATTTTGCTCTGAGCCCAATGAAAAGGAATCAGTCTATTACAGTGTGACTTTTAAAAATCAAAATAACTTTTTTCTGTGGTATGTAGTTTGCACTCTCCCAAGTTAGAGTCCTGTTATAAAAATTGTCATTTAAAATATATCCCTAAAACTAAATGGCTGTAGTTTGAAAGTTGAAATTTAGTAGAAAAATAAACTTAGGCTAAAAAAGAAATCTGAACATTTGTTCATTTTTTCAGAAATAATAACATTTAAAAGAGAACAATATGGAAAGTGTTAGCTATCAAGGAGAGGATTTCAGGTGTAAAGACTGGGTGAAAAACAGAAAACAAGAATATAAACTGTTATATAGTCTTAGATGTTACTTAATGCCTGTTGGGAGACCCTGTTTCTAATTGCAGAAATTGGATGAGGATCAATCATTGTAAATTAACTGAAGTCCTATATATCTATTTATAATTTTCATTTTAATTAATGCTTTCCTACAAGCTTCACATCTATTCTTGTGTGTGTGTGTGTGTGTGTGTGTGTGTGTGTTGTAAGCACCTGTTTTAAACTCTGAATAGATTATTTTATATTTAAAAAACAAATGAACTGAAATAGTAAGGCTGTATTCCATCCCCCCCCCCCCCCCCCCCCCCCCCAGTTATCTGGATTCTTTGGTGGTGTTAACCTGAAAAGCTTAAAGTAATCATGTCATAGATTTTCCTTTTGACTTGAGAATTTTATTTATACTTAATACTATGATATAAATCACTTGGAAAATTGGGAGCTGACTTAGACAGCAGTCCATACTCCAAAATATGACATTGCAGTGTGGTTTCTAATTGCTTTATGTAAAGTCTAATGAGCTTTTTATTTTTTAATTAAGAATTGATTTTTGAAGTTGGATGTCTGCTTCTTAGTAAAAATTAGATTTCCTATTAAATATTATTTCTTGTCTAGAGATGTACAACCATTCTGCATTTACCAAAAAATAACAAAAATTCCTATGAGCTATTACAAATTTAGAGCCTTGTTCCACAATAATTTTGGGCGGCTCCTGATGCTCTTGACCCCTAGATTGCCTGCATATTAACACCTGACACTAGTTTTAAGTACTTGTTATGCAGCTCAAAGCTACACCAATTCAAGACAGGATTATCTCTGATCTGTTCTATGCAGCTCATGTAACACAAAGCTGCAGGTACACTAGGCTACATCGTAGTGTAAACACCAGGGTTCGAATTACACTTTGACTCTTGTGGAGGGTCTGCAAAAAAAAAATAAAAAAAATGCTGCCCATCACGATGCCCTAATAAAATTGAAGACCTGCCCTCAGGTTATGATTTTCAAATCTTACAGGGGGCTCTCGTCTCAGGGGGGGCTCACCCTCCCCCATAAGTTCTCCATATCTCTGCTCACTGCCTCCCTCATCTCCCAGTTACTGGTGGTTGCCCATGCTGTGTCCCGCTAGGAGCAGGCAGGGAAGGGCTAAACTGCCTGCCTGTTCCTGCTGCTGCTGCTCTGAGTCAGAAGAGCAGCAGCCCAGCAACAGCAGAGGCTGGGCAAGCAGTTTCAACATTCCTTGCGTGATTCCTTGGGACAGACAGCACAGGTAGCCATAAGTAAGTAATGCCCTGAGGTCAAGGGGAAACTGGGGCAGCCTTAGGGAGCAGAGGACAGGTAGGAATTGGAGATGGGGGACTTACCTTTCAGTCCTCCAGGCTTCTGCTTGCCTGCAGCATGACTTTGATCTAGCACTAACACCAATCGACTTTTGTGCGGCTCATGGTGTAAGGTGCAACATGGCCCTTAGTCTGGCACATGTATAACACCACTTTGTTAATATATTTTATACTTTTGTCTAAAATTTCTGTAACCTTTTGAAATATTTGTTTATTGATTAATTTATTGCACTTCCTCTTGAGCTACAGTGTATCATTTACATTTCTGTTTTCTCCAAACAGACAACTCGTACATGAATAAAGACCAGCATGGCTCATCTTCTGAAAGTGAAGATGAGGCACTGGGTAAATACCATGAAGCCTTGTCCAGAACACACAGTTCCAGACCAACAGTGGTAGATAGCAGGCAGCAGAAAAATTACCTTTGGGAAACCAGACAAAAATATAGCCCTCTGTCTGCAGAGTATGATGGTTACAGTAGTGAAGCTTCAATAGATGAAGGTAAGGTATAGTTTACAAAAGTTCTGTCTTCATCCCTCATTTTCAAGTTATAATGTGGATCAGAATACTGCCTTTAAAGACTCTTATTTAGAAATAGTCACTGTCTGCTAGTGACTCCTAAATATTTCTTGTATCAGAATACACTACAAAAATAGATGAAAATGTATGTTCTTGTCCTTCATGGAAGTACTCCATATGGAACTTAATATGGGAGGAAAGAATATTGTGCAACTTTTATCAGCAATAACTTCTTTGAAAAACTGCCTTTAAGTTCTATTGTGGGAAATCCTGATGATTTTTAAGGTAGTGTAAATGCAGAAGTATGACACATTACGGGATTCTGTATATAATATGCACTCGGTGGCTGCCATAACTCTGAAGTTGGTTTTATTATTCAGTAAAGTTGTTCTGTTATGTTTTTACTATGTAAATTACAGGAATACCTCCTCTTTCTTGTTTCAAAAAGAGAGGTCAGAAAAGTTAGTGTTTTATTAATAAAACTCTGCCATGGCATTGAAGGTCACTTTTCTTCTGAAAATCAGCCCTACTTTTCTTGCAACATTTTTTTTAATCCTCAGTGCATCATGGAAATAACTAAGTGCTAGGGGTATACAGATAGAGATTTTTTTTTTTTTTTGGCCGATACCAATATCTGATCTTTAAGGAGCCATATCAGCCAATACTGACCCAGTTTCTGATGCAGTGTGGAGAGCTGTCTTCAGCTGGTAACTCTGTTGTGGGAGGGAAGGGGCATGAGGGGGCATATCAACGTCCCCTGCAGTGATGGAGGGAACAGGGGTAAGGACAAGCGGTGCCTGAGTGGAGCATAGTGTGGGGCAGGGTGAACCTGCAGGTTGGTTGGGGGGTGGCTCTCACTGCTGCTTGCACCCTGGAAGGGCACGGTGGGGCATGTCCCACCTGGATCTGTGCAGAGTGGGGTGGGTAGGCTGCAGCCACGGGCTGGAGCTGGGGCTGTACTGAGCTCTTATTGCCAGAGGCCGGACTCGGGGTGGGGGCTGCAGCCACCCCAAATTTCGCTGTAGCTCCCTCCCAAGGCCACCACCGCATGCCTGGCACAGCCCCGGCTCTTGCCGGCATGTGGGGGGAGCCAGGGGTTGAGCCAGGGCTGCGCCGGGTGTGCAGTTGCAGTGCTGGGAGGGAGCTACAACAAAATTTGGCATGGCTGTAGCTCCTGCCCTGCCCCATGCAGATCTAGAGGGTACATGCAAGCAGCGTGTACATGCAAGCTCCCGGGGTGCAAGCAGCGACGGGAGCCACCCCCTCCTCCCCAACAAGCTGCGGGTCTCTCATGCCCCGCCCCAACTTGACTGGGAAGTGTCTGTCCCTGCCCCTTCCCCCTCCCTCAGTATGGGGGGGAGGGTTGATCTGCCCCTTCCCTCCCCTCTGCCCTTCCACCATAATGGACTTACCAGCTGGAGCCAGCTCTCCACACTGCCGGGTTGTGTTCCTTGCTGCCTGCGTGCTGCAGCTGTGCGCATGCAGGGGCATTTATCGGCCAAATTATCAGCCCCATCGAGTCGATCTCCAATACAGCCAATTTTCTTTATATCAGTATAGATCTGAAACTGAAGTGATGTATCAGTGCATCTCTACTAAGTTCCTCTTTTCAGTTGACCTAGATGGCACGCAAGCACCATTTATTCTTGAAAATAGCTGAAGATGAAAAACTTTATTTATATTTATTAACAAGCAAGAAGAAGGGAGTTTTGTTTGAGATACAGGTAAAAAAAAAAATCAGGTACTGATTTTTACATGGGTGCATTAATTAGACATTTTTGGATAAGAAATCTTACATTTTAAATTGTATACATAATAAAATTGTTAGTGTATTGTCCAAAACAGTGAATCTAATTTCAGACTAGGTTAGTATCAGCTCTTAACTATGTAGAAAGTTTGGAAATCTCATATGTGATTCTCTGACTGGTTTGAAAGTCTAATTTGTTTCTTTTCCCTATTGAAAAGGTTGTTTATCTCTTAAATTAAGGATTTTGTTTTTATGATCTCTCCCACATTTTGGTTTGGAAAACAGGGACTAGTTATGCAATCACTGATGATCTCTATCACAGAGACAAAATGGATGACATGTATTGGAAGCCTGAAACAGAGTAAGTTGATTCTCTTTTCTTGTTCAGGCAGAAGGCAAGGCAGAGTGCCATCTTAAAGACTGACTCCTTTTCATCGGACTTGTTGTCATCAAAACTCCTTAGTGCCTTTTTGTCTTTGAAATTGGACTTTAGGAGATAGGTGAGCCCGAGTTCCAACAATACAGATGAAAATGGGAAAGTGATGGGTACTGGCTACTTAAGAGGCACTTGCATGAAGAAAGGTTTATGGGAATAAGGGCAGAGGGTATACTAAATACTTTCTGTTTCAGTTCCTTTATCTATTTATACTTGTCAACAGTAGCATCTACACTTTCTTCTTTGCCACCTTCCTATGAGTTTTTTGTGGGGAGCCAGCTTATCTGGCACCATTTCAGGGACAAGGTTAAGAGATGCTAGATGGGTTGAGAAAGGGAGATGTTGGTACCAAGGAATAAGAACAAATAAGAGATGCAGACTCTATTATAGCCCCAGCAGTCTTTGCCTGTCTCCTAACTAGTGGAGGCTACTTCTTCATACATTTACTCCTCTTCCTCCCATCTCAAAATTGCTGGTATTTGTATTGTAAACTATCTCCTGAATTTCTTCTTCCATCTTCCCTTCTCTACTCTTGAGCTTCAGTCTTGCAGAGCTGTCAAATTTCTCTATGTCAATAGGCAGATTAAATTCCATCTTAAAATCATCTTCTTTTATCGTCTGCCTCAAAACTGCTGCAGCTCATGCAAGCTACCCTTTTATCCTGGTAAATTTTTGAGCATGGTTTGAGTCTCTGGTAGGAGATTCAAAGTGCAGCAGCTAAGAGTTTGTCAGCCATTTGTTTCCTGTGTCCTGCTGCAAATGCCATCAATGCCCACACTTCTAGATCCTGTCTCCATTCAAACAAATGCACAAAAAAGGGCAGGGGAGATATAATGTCTAACTTTTAAATTTCATAAATGTAAGTGTTAAACTAACCTTTTAAATAGTTATACATTTAATTTATTGGGAGGGTGTTCAAAATTTGGAAAAACATTTTTGTGTCTCTCATTCTTTTATATATATATTCTATATTTTTATTTACAACAAAAAGTTTTACAGTTGTCACTATAATAGTTATAATTTTTGGACTGGTTATTTTGCTTTAGCTGTTGTATGTAAGTGGACATTTAATCCCAGTGTTTAGAGTTCCAGGAAATCTACCTGCAATTCTTGGTACACCTGTGTGTAAAGCAGTTGCAGAATCAGGCCCATATTTTATAATGATCTATTGTTAGTCTCCAAGATGCTGTGCAATAATAGTATTCAAGGCAGTAAAAAGCTAGCATAATATTTTTTTTATACTGCTTTAGTACACTGCAATATATAATTTGTTGATACTTTTTAGTTCTCCCAAAACCATTTCAAATATAATGGCAAAGTTCCCACATTAATAATTTTTTTCATAAATATTTGCTTTGATTACAGGAAAAAATAAGGAAGAGAGTATGCCTGATTGCTTTTTATTCGCCCTGGAAGGCAGGCCATGCATCTTAGAACTTTAGTGACAGAGAAAGTGGGCAGCTGATAAAGCAAACCTGCAATCCATAGACAGAGGCTGGAGATCATAGCCAGCTAGTTCATACAACTTCAGAGAAGCAATTTGCTAATCTCAGATTAAAAATGAAGAACATTAAGGAACATTTTAGCTGCTTGATTGTAAATTTTACAATACCAAGTTTTGCTGTTTCTTGAAATTTAATATCAATCCTTGACACTTGAGGCATCATAACAATCCTGAGAGGTTTTTTTTCAGTGGATAGTTTACAGAAAGTGTAAAGAAAAATAATAGAGATTTTTAAAAATTATTTGGGCAAAAACATCTAAATATGTATAAAAGGGAAAGTGTAATAAAAGAAATAGTTGTAGTACTTATTAATATATTTTCCCCATGTTCTTAATTTTTCATAAATTTAATTATTTTTCCCATGTTTAGATCCTAGACATTATGGTCATATTTTCCAAACATTAAAATGTATAGTTCCTGTTGACATCAGTAAGAATTCCACACCAGATCAAAGACCGCATGAGCTGATAAAAAATACCATGGTTTTCCATTTTCGAAGCAGTTATCTGGTTTTCTTTTTGGTATTAATCTGAAGTTCTGTCCTTTTTCCTGCATCATGTCATACTTTTCTTTTTAAAGAAGGGAGCCATAACTGTATCTTCCTGTACCTTGGACATTTCTTTTTATTTAATTTTTTTCTTGACAACTCTCCTTTTTTGTTTAAAAAACAAACAAACCCCAACAATAAAGCATGCACAGAAGTTTGTAATAAAATAGATAATAAACAGAATCTTGCTTTCTGAGCAAATGAGGTTAAGGCCAATTGAATTATTTGATGTTACTTGGTTTTCTAATTGCAAATTACGAAACCTCAATCATGATAACCTAAAATTTGCTTATTGCCAATGGAAAAACATGTGCTAATAGCTAACACATTTGATTTCAGGTTTATAGGATGTAAATATTTTCAAAATGCATTATTTTGAAGTTTGAAAACATAAGCAAATGTGTCATGTTTTCATTTTATTCTTTTGTCCTCTAGATGGCCATATTAATCTTTCTTTTCTACCTAGCAGCATAGGGCTGATAGCATCATTATATAACATTTAATCTTTAAGTAAAGAAAACAAGTAATAATTTACCAATATTTTTGCACAATTGCTGTTTTTCTAATGATATATTTTCCTTGTACTGTGTTAAACCTCTTCATTTGCTTCATTACATTTATATTAAGCAATTTAGTAAATATTTCTCTAGTTCTGCAATGTCAGTCATCTGCCTAGGAACTGGATCTGTATCACTTCTGTAGCATATATTATATTGAAATTCTGCAGAATCTGAATTTACTTTTGATT